TCGTCTAATTGTTGAAAAGAGGGATACAGGATTGAAAAAGTTAAAATTACGCAAATTAGAGGAAGGAGTGAGAAGGGAATGAGGCGAGGAACGAAAAAATAAAACGTTTCTTTCCTTCTCCTTTCTAACCTCGTTCCCAGGGTCTCTCGGTAAGAAGAGAGACCCTGGAAACGAGGTTTTCTCTTTTCCGCACCGCAGTTCTGACCGCATAAGGTGGGGGTACACCTAAAAACATACCTTTTTTTCAAGCTTTTTTTCATGGTTAAGATCAGGAGCCATAATCGGGGACCTTCCCCGATTATGGCTCCTGTTAAGATTTAATTCGAAACCATGGCAAAGTAAACATTTTTAGAAAGTTTAAAGATCAGAAATTATGATTTTTTTTGGTACTTTGATTAATTAGAACTGTATTGCAACCTCACACCGGCTGATTAAATCTGCCACCTGCGGGAGAATGCCAGGGCTTACTTGGGAAACTGATCAAAATGAATACTTTTTACATTTTTTAAAAGAAGACGAATAGTTTACTGTTTTAAGCATAGAGGTTTTGGAAAAGTTAAAAACACATGAAATGGTGACCAGTCAAATCTGATACAGAAAATTCAGCATAGACCAGCATACGTTTCAATGCATAACTTCGACAAAATGCACTGGATGGAAAAGTTATATGCTTAAAACACAAAACTTACATAGAACAACAAATCCTGAAAATTTCAGGTCAATTGGACAAATCCTTCTCAAAAAAATAACTTTTTTTTTGAAAACGAGCTTTGAACTTACAGTAACACGTTTTGGAACAAGCAAGCTCTGGGCTTATATACTTCGTTTCTAAATATGGAAGCATACAGCATATTAATTGTGTTGTTATCACGCGATTGACCTTTGCAATAGCCATGCATGGTAACGCAAGTACTAAAAATTAAAAAAAAGCGCGTCGAGAGGAAGTTTCCTCTCGCCGCGCTTTTTTTTATTTTTTCGCGCGCTGTATTTCGTGTTTCGCCCCAACTAAACTAAACGCCTGGAAGAGGCTAAATAATTTTCGCCCAGCGTTTCCGATTTCGTATTGGTATCAGAGATTCCATCTCCTGAGTCTTTGTCCAATAGGATTTGCGTTACCATGCATGGCTGGTGCAAAGGTCAATCGCGTGATGACAACACAATATGCTGTATGCTTCCATATTTAGAAACGAAGTATATAAAGCCCAGAGCTCACTTGTTCCAGCTCACATCCACTCGAACAAACTCTTGAGTGAGTAGCTGTGAGATTGCTCTCAGAAGTCAACATGAAATACGCTGTATTTTTACTAGTTATCGCATTTTGCAGCGACGCTTTCGGAATTAACACCGTGTCAACCTTAAATGTGACACAATATCTTGGCCGCTGGTATCAGGTAAGAATCAAGGGCTGACTCGAAGTAGTGTAATCTCTTGTGCCTCTGGTTATGCAATAGACATTGCTAGTGTTTTGGGATACAGTGCTTTCACTTGTAGAAGCCCTGTTATCGAAGTACCTTTTAATTACTTAAGAAAGCGTGCGTAAAAATTTACCAGAGCGATAATTATATGAGCTACGCCTCCATCTTATGTAACAGCCTGATTGCACAACAGTTACACAGTTATGCATAAGAAATGGGAGTTATTCTTGTGAAAATCTCCGCGATTGACGCTCGATATGTCTTAGAATCGCAATGATAAAATACGTAGCCTTTCATAGCTCCAGGGCCCAAGAGAAGAGGTTCTTACTCTTGCTTTGCTCGTACAAATTATATCGTCAGGGGCCTTCTCTGGTAAGCCATGCAACCCTT